GGAAGTTAGTTAGGCTTGGCGCACAAGAACTGCCGACCGACCTGCCGTGCGACCAACGATGACGTCGCCAATGTATCGTTGGGCATAAGCCCTGTCTTTCAAGTGCCTGGCCAATCAAATGGAGCCTGCAAGGGCATGGTCGAATGGAATCAGCCGAAATCTTCCAGTACCAACACAATGAACAGCCGCGGCAAAACCTGCGACGCCAAGCTACCGTAATCGCGTAACGGTGCAGTGACTGGCAGGCGAATGCCGCCATAAAATTTCATGACGCGTCCGGTTTTTGTATCACAATAGCCACATGTTCTCAAGACAAGCACAGCAGGGTCACTCTACGAAGGCTCCGCATATTTTTGAAGTTCAGACAAGTCGATGGATATTTTTTGCGCGTCTATAATTGAGCAGAGACAAAATGGCATTTGGTTTTCAACAAGATGGGCCTCCTTCGTGAAACGTTCTTGTCTTAACGAATGAATGGACGAAATAATGAGTCATGACTGAATGAATAAAATAGGTCTCTGGCAAAAGCTGGATTCATAACAGGGCACGAAGTGAGCCAAAATGTAGCTGGTCAAATATGATTATCGATACTGAACGCTCAGTCGAGAATGAACTTTTCTCTGCAGTTTGCAAGGAACTTCACAGCACTTTCCTGAAACCTTAACATGCACCGACAACCGAAAACCAATAATGCATCCGGATCATCAACAACTGATGGACCACATAAATATTTGAACGCTAGACTTTGTGCTTATTATGTACCTGCGTGCAATTCCACACAAGTTCTCAACAAAAAAAATTCAAGCGACATTTGCAAAATATTGCATGCACTGGAGTTTTCATCCAACGTCAAAATATAATCGAGATCAAATGGGAAAGTTCCAACTACGGCTTACTAAAGTCTTAATCTATGGCGTTCTCACCGGGGCTCATTGCCTACATACAACAAAAATGCATGAACGTATTTATTATTTGAATTAAAAATTATTTTTTGGCAGATAGCCAATGCGTCTATATGGAGATTTCCGTGATAACGGGATTAAACTTCGATCTAAGTCATGGCAGAGGTGTGCAAGATACAGATATTCAGGTTCAGATTATTTTTTTAGGACTGATGAAGAGTGCACATTTGATAAGGATCATTCATACTTACAAAACCTGCTTCTATAAGTTTCAGAGTGTGCTGCAACCCCCATGTTGAGTGAGAATCAGCAATAACTGACGGATCCTTTGAGATATTTTGGTGCTCGATTTCTTCCCCTATACCTTATGACGGGAATTTGTAATCCAGCAATTTCCATGCAAGGACTCTACTTAAATGAAGCTATATAAACGGTGAATTATTCTGAAAAGGACCATACACTGAAGCCTTATCCTGACTTCAAAAGCGTTCCGACGTTTCGTTTGTTTTATCTATAACATTGTGTACTTTTCTGGACATTCCAACTTCGTTAAATTATTTAAAAAATAGCATGTCTCATAATAAGTTCTAACGGAAAACGAAAGAATCTGAGCATAATTCCAAAGTTGAAATCTTGGACAGAAAAATAATCCTACCAAAACCTTTGCCATTAAGCTTCTTTGGTTTTATTTATTTAACGTTCTCATTCCTTTTCGGTCGCCTTGACAAGTTCTATGCTGAAGTATGTGCTGACATCTGGATGACAGTAAGTCTGAATCTTTGAAAGAGAAAGACAAAGAGAGAAGAATGACGCAGCGAATGAAGGAAGACAGTTAAAGAAAATGAGAAAGGACTGAAAACTTAAGTTTGGCATAAACCCTTGTTTGCTTTGATCGCTATTCATGAAGCTTCTGTACTTTAAACATTAATTATCTCAAGAACGTCTGAAAGTAGGATCATCTCATGAAGAATCGCTGTGATGTCAGAATTTTATAGAGTGAATAGGCAAAAAGATGGTTAGATGCCAAAATCTGTTTAATGATCCCTGACATCCAATGCAACACAAACTCGTATAGAGCAAAGTTTTTGGTGGCAGCAAGCAGCAAGCGATTCATCGCCAAAGAAAGACTTATAAGGTCTTATTTACTCAGTGTTGAACCTGCATGGCACTGTCCCATTCACACGTGACAGGTGATAGCCTGATCTGGTGTCCTTTCGCTTTACCTGACTTGTTTAAATGCCTCGCCCGCGCGAAGGCAGGCACATGCAAGACTTCAGGGAATTTTATCTGTGTGAATATGCACATTCTGGAACGGCAGTCAAAAATTGCTTCACCTCGATTTAGAAGAGAGAACTCCACGGGGAGGGATTGATAAGAGATTTCGATTCTCTGCCACTGAACTACCCAAAATAGAATGA